GTGAAATGCCCTGAGGATTTGTCCTGAGATCCTGTACCTCAGATTGTAGAACCTTTATCAGTGCAGCCATGTGGATGAGTCACGGCCAATGCTTGGCCAGTGTGCTCTCTGTGAAAGCCTGAGAGAGTATCTTCTCCCCAACCACATATCTTATGACTAGAAAAAATATTAACCTACTTTCAGTCAAAGTAATTATTGAAAGTTAGCATCTTGCTAATGTGATTACAATATTCTCTAGATTATTCTTTCCTTTCTTATCCAACTGTGTTCTTTTGTAATTAAGAGACTTTTCTCCTATAGATTGCTTTTATCACATATTATTATTGGCATTTACTTATGGGCGACCACAAAAGTTGTGGAATACTTTAAAGATAGAACATATTATGGTAAACTGACAATACTTAACTTTGCTGACACACATACCTATAAGTCCTTTCATCCATAAAATGAGGAATATGTCTCAGCAGACTAAAGCACCTACTTTGGCAGAGCACAGCGGTCGGGGTTCGATCCCCAGTGAGTAGTTCTGGCCCCATCCCCGGGGTGTGCTGAGACTGGCATTGATACTGGGCGTGATGGCTTCTGCCTCTAATGCCAGCTCTTGGGAGGCTGAAAACAGGAGAATCACTACAAGTCTGATCTATGTAGTGAGACCCTATAGACTCTGTCCTAATATAGAAAGAAAAAAAAGTGAAGAATATGAATAAACTTATAAGGGAACTTCTTGTCTCTACAGTGTTTCTTTCTAGGCCTTAAGTATGTAGAGACTACAATTGTGGGGAAATAGCTGAATATTTTTGATTCTGGTTGGTCCAGAACATTTTTAAATAGCAGTGGAAGGAATGGGAGCTTCTGAAACAGACAGATTTGACTCATTCTGCTGCTTCTACTCAGCAGCTTCAGAACAGCTTTGCTAGTAGCATGCATTTCTACACCTACAAAAGCAAAACCCTCTGATTTTAACTGACTGCTTGATGGTCAGACAAAAGATTTAGGCTAGTCACCTGAAAACTGAATGTAGAAAGTGTAGTTAAAAGACAAATAAATTAGAATCGAGTCCATTTAGAAACAAAGCAAGAGAGACAGAGAGAAATATTCCATTAGCCTAGAGTGTCCAGCTGTTCAGAATAAAACACTCACTTCCTGTCCTTTGATGACTAAGTGAGTGCCTAAGGATTTCTGAAGACCCAGAATTTGAACTTCCCTTAGCTTGTCTATGTAATGGGAGTAACAATAACACCAGTGCAGTGAGTACCTCGTTTTCACCTGAGGTCTGTTCCTTTGCTCCCAAGAAGGGGCACGCTTGGGCTCACCATGTTCTCCAGAATGTCACTTGGTTTTATTAATTTCCCCCATCCTTATAATTTCATCCTCACTGCACCTTGAAGAGTCACAATTACAACTTAGTGAGGACAAAGGAGGAGAGAACTATAATCGAGTAGGACAGAGGGGGGAAGCAATAAGGGAGGATGGAGAAAGAGAAGGAGAGAGGGGCAGAGAGAGAAACAGAAGGAAGTATTGATGTGCAGAAATCAAAGTTTCCTGTACAGTTGCTATGTCACAAACCAGATTTGGAAGATAGTTCTGTGCCTTTTAATTCTGACTCGATTTGAGTGAGAATAAACATAGATGCAGCTGAAACAGCAGATCACGTGTGAAATTGGCTGCTACTTAAGCAAGCAGAACACTTGTGCAACACATTTGCTTGTGGACTGGAGCAGGAGAGAAGCCCAGGGATTCATTACCCTGGTCTGCAGAGGAGACAGGAGCACCATGAGCACCGCAGGAAAAGTAAGCCTGAGGATTGTACTGCTTGAAGTATATTCTCATTCATGTAATATTTTAAATGACAGTTTTTATGCGTAATCTAATATCAGTATTTGCTTTAAAATAATGCAATATAATTTCACAGTATATGTTATTAGATTAACACTGAACTATAGCAGAAATACAGAGATCTTGACAACCACTGAGATGAATGTAAATATTCTCAACTAATGAAGTAGTATTTCCAACTTTGAATAAAAGTTTATCAGTTTATTCCAAAGTAAATGTGATTGATTTGTAAGCCTAACATTATAAAACTTCTTTATTCAAAGGTTGATTTTATACTAAGAAATCTTAATTTAAATATGTGAGTCTCAGCAATCATATTCTTATTACAAATCCATGAATATTACATTTTTGAGTATATATATATATATATATATATATATTTCAATTCAGAGAATTTTCAGGAGAAATCCTATCAAACAATATTTTCTCAAACAAAAATCAATCAGATTTGAAGAAAAATTACTACTACTAAAACTTGAATCACTTGTTAGCACTGAGAACACAGATATTTGGCTCTATTGTTATGGAACATGTTTCTTTACTGTGTTTAAGAAACAAAGACCTGAATGCAGTCCTTCAATATGATTAATTTATGCTACTTAATTGTTTAATTTCAAAAGGCTGGACAACTCTTTCCAGAATAGTTGCCATTTTAGGAATTAATTATTCCATCCAGTACCTCATTCTGTGAACTCTCTTGAGAGGTTCTGAGTGACAGAACATGTCACAAGTCTTGTTGGAAAGACATAAGAGGCCAGTTGTCACTGCTCTTGTTCTACCTCATGTCATTTCATTCATTACTGGGTGCCATTTACAATACTACTTTACATTTCAAAATAGAAATAAAAAAATTAAATTGACAAATAATCAGTTGAAAAGAAATACTGAATTTACAAAGCAGCATATGTAAAGTAAGTACATTTGGAAAATAATAACAGAACAAGCAATCAATCCTCTCAGATCACATAGCTACGTAGTAAACTTTCACATAAGTTATTCTTCCTGAATTTCATTTTTCTTCAACATGATGATGGAAATAGCAACTTCATAAGAAGTTGTGAGAATTTACAAAATTAATATTATAAAACATATAGAAGAATACCTGATACTTAGAAAGCAATAAATACATGTTAATTACTATTATTGTTGTTATTCAAGTTTTTCTCTTTTTGGGGGTATTTGGTATAGGGTCACACTATGTAGCTTGGACTGGTAGTGATCCTCCTGTTTTCAGCCTGCTCAGTGCTGGGATTACAGGCATGCACCACAACATCCAGTCTTGGTGGTTGGCTCAGTGTGCCAAGGGTTCGGGGGGCAGAGTGGTATTTGGTGCCTGGAATTGATCCTGATCCCTGCATTTGCCAAAGCAGGCCCTTAGTTCACTAAGGGCTATCTCTCTTGAGCTTTACGGTTTTTTTACATGGTGGTAAAGTAAGGGTAGCTCTGAATGGATCTTTTTGTCCTTGAAACATTGGCCAGAGCAGGTAACAAAAGAAAGAAAGAAAGAAAGGGAATAATGATAAGAAAAAAAGAAGTTAAATTATCATTATTGAAGATGCCATGATACTCTACATAGAAGACCCCAAAAACCCTACCAAGAGACTTCTGGATTTAACAACCAAATTCAGTAATATAGCTGGCTACAAAGTCATTAATCAAAAATCAATAGCTTTCCTGTACACCAATAAGAAATTTAATGGAAAAGAAATTAGAGAAGCCACACCTTTCAAAATAATGAAATACTTAGGAATCAATCTAATGAAACAAGTCAAAGAAATTAAATTGAAAACTACAGTACACTGATAAATAAGAAATATTCCCTTTATTTCTTTCTCTTGTTAACTGCTCTGGCCAGTGTTTCCAGAACAAAGAGATCCATTCAGTGTTACCTTTACTTTATCACCATGTAAAAAAGAACCTTAAAGCTCAAGAGAGATAGCTTAGTGAAATAAGCGCCTGCTTCACTCAGTTATTAAGCCAGTTGAGCCTCAACATTTCATCTATACAATAAGGCAACAATTCACCACTGCTTTTATAGTGATGCAGGTCACAATGAGCCTGCCAATCTAAGGTCACCAATAATCACAACCTATCCATTATTAGTGCATCAATTCCAAATCTCTCACTTTTGTTTTGGGATTGACCACTGTGTATGTTCTCTATACAGATTTGATGACTAAATAATGAACATCAATTGTCAGAAGAACAATTTCAACTGAATTTTCCTATCATCTTTCCAATTACGTTAATCCTCTTTGAAACACGTTCTCATAAATGCATGTTTTACCATAATGAAGACAGGTTTCATGGTTTATTTCTAAACACTGAAAATGAGCATTTATCTTTATTTCACTTGGAGAGAAAACATTCTCTCAGGCTTTCACAGAGAGCACATTGGCCAAGCAATGGCCGTGACTCATCCACATGGCTGCACTGACAAAAGATGTACAATCTGAGGTACAGGATCTCAGGATAAATCCTGAGGGCATTTCACTGACCTTATCAGACCCAAAAGAGACAACTGTTGTTGCATAGTTCCTGCTTTACCTTGGTCTGAACCATCCAGCAGAAAAGCATAAAAACAAAATATAAGAAGTAAAGCCATGCTGTTATGTTGAGCTGTAGGGGACTCAGGTCAGCAATTTCTGACATTGCCAGTCAAGCAGAAGACCCAATACTATTATGGGCTACTGGACTCTTTTAGAATATTTTGCTGAGTTTATATACCTATAACATTCAAATAACGGAATTTAACAAAAAAAGGGACATACAGATGAATGTTCATTTTGTATCTGCGTATTCAAAGTGGTTAGGATAGATATATAGTTACATTCTCTTAATGAATAGAGGGATTTGTTCTAAAGGTGTTTGTAAATAGAATATCATGTCCTCATCTTGTACAGCAATTAACCACTAGGAAGAATGTATGCAATGTGTTAATTATTGAAACTATCCTACCAATTTGATTTGAAACTGTCTCATTGCTATTTGTTTATCAATAAAATTATGGGAAAAAATAAAATAAAATGCTGAACATACAAAAAAATAAATGTAGGAGATGAGATATCTAGAAATTCAAATAGATAATTCTCCAATTTCTGAAATATGTATGTGTAGTTAAAAGCATATTGCATGTACACACACACACACACACACACACACACACACACACACACCATACTATGTTTTATCTCTGAAATTTTAGCTTAAATCTGATCTAAAAGCCAAAACAGGCTGTCAAAGCTATTTCACTGGAATAACATAAGCATGTCGTGCAGAAGGGGCAGAGAAAGAAAATTACAGAGCAGAAATAAACAAATGGAAAAGGAGAAGTCATTCTTTGCAGGAAGCTTAGCATAAGATCATTTCAAAATCAGACCCTGCACTCAAGAAGTTGGTGTGGGAAGATCACTTTGAGTTTCAGGCCAACCTAAGCTACAAAGTGAGTTTAAGGCCAGCCTGAACTTTATAAGGACAATATGTCTCAATAAATAAATAAATAAATTTAAATAAATTAATGAATTCAATTAAATAAGGTCCTTCCAGGCATGGTGTCACAAACTTGTATTCCCAGGACTCTGGAGACTGAAGCAGGAGGACTGGTGAGAGGTCAGCCTGTGCTGTATGAGTTCAAGGCCAGCCTAAACTATACAGCATCTAGCTCTTTTTTAAAATTTTTTTAAATTTGTTTTTCTTTCCACTATATTTTTAAATCTATTTTTATTTTGAAGAGTAAAAACAAAAGCAAAAACGAATAGCAGAAACAAAGACAGAAATAGTGATATACAACAATGCATGTTACAGATTTTCAAAACAAGATTAGCTTATTAACAATGGTTATTCTATTATCTATATTTTTATTCATTATATTGAGGAACAAATAGCAATTAGTTTCAAAACAGGTTAGGAAGGCAGTTCCAATAACACATTGCATACTGTTGTTTTCATAGTAGTTATTCATAGTACAAGATGCAAACATGATATTCTGTCCAAATACTATTAGTACAAATCTTTCTTCTCATTGATAAGAGAAAGTAGCTGTATATCTATCCTATTTTCTATATAAAATACAAAATGGTCCTTCATTTGTAACCCTTTTTTTGTTTAATTTTGTCAGAGATGGGTATTCCACTGTCATTTAAATATTGTAGGCATGTGAATTCAACAAAATAATCCAATGTTATCCAGTAGTCCATGATAGTAGTGGGTTTTCCATAGGACTGGCAATGTCAGAAGTTGTTGACTTGAGCCTTTTATAGCTCAGCATATTCATATGGCTTTACTTTTTATTTCTTGTTTTTGTACTTTTCTGTTGGATTGTTAACATCAAGATAAAGGAAGACCTACATAACAAGAAATGTAAATTTTGTATCTGATGAGGTCAGTCAGATCCCCTCAGGATTTACCCTGAAACCATGTATAGCAGTTTGTAGTCTATGTAAAAAAAAAAGAAAAGAAAGAAAGAAAGAAAGAAAGAAAGAAAGAAAGAAAGAAAGAAAGAAAGAAAGAAAGAAAGAAAGAAAGGAAAGAAAGAAAGAAAGAAAAAGAAAGAAAGAAAGAAAGAAAGAAAGAAAGAAAGAAAGAAAGAAAGAAAGAAAAAAAGAGAAAAATCATTTCAACTTAAGCAAAAAATTTTGCAAGGGAATAACAGCTCTTATATGAACGGACACTAACACTGTCAAAAATAATGATAATTAAAAGTTCATGTACAAATAAACAGTTGTGGATAAACAACAAACACCAGGGCAGCAATGGAAAGTATGAGGAATCCTGATGTCCTAAACTTTTGAGCAAAAGAAGAAACTATGAAACGTCTAAAAGAATGTATTTTGGAAAAAAAAAAAAAAAAAAAAACGTATTCAGCCTCATTTCAATGTCTGACAAAGGTAATTGTATGACTCTCCAGCTGTTATTGCTTCACAAATTTTTAAAAGATATTTTTATTTATTTTTTTTTTACAGTCCCAGGGATTGAACTCAGGACCCAGTGGTTATTCTACTGACCTATCTCCCTGGCCCCGATATTTTTATTCTTGTAACCAAAACTGCTCATTTCTATAGAGAATGTGTTGGGTATGGTTCATGGGCATGGGGCTAGATACATGTACAAAGATGAAGAGACAATATAACTCATAGCAAACCCTTCATCTTTCTGTCTGATGTTCCAGGTCATAAAATGCAAAGCTGCTGTGCTATGGGAGACAAACAAACCTTTCTCCATTGAGGAGGTAGAGGTCGCACCCCCTAAGGCCCATGAAGTTCGTATTAAGGTGAAAACATTTCTACTTCTATTTTATTTTAGGTTTAACATCTCAGAAAATTTCAAAAGCAATTAATGTTGGATATTTTCAAGATGTTGATCTACAATTTTTGTTTCCATAAAAAGTATGCATTCATCAATGTTACATAAAGCAAACATTTCAGGATCACTTATTTCACAGGATTACTTATTCTAAATTGTTTAATTCACAAAAGAAAGGTTGGGGAGTGTTTTGCATATTCTTGAGAATAAATAATTTTTTTGTATTTTGTTT